TCCCTTTTCCCCTTTCAAATCTTATCATGAAAATCGTTTCAAAGTCTGCCGCAAACCGTCAACAGACTTTTGTACTCCCGCACCCCCCGACACCAAGACTAAACTCTGGTCATCAGACTTTTTACTATGCTTGGTACTGCACATTGAAAAATTTTTAAAATAATGCCCCTTCCTAGAAGAGATGTTTCTAAACTTCACTATCTCTCATTTCATCAGAGTTTTCAAGCGTCGGCACAAAAAACTTCAACTCCTAGAGGAAACAGAACCAAAAAGAAACTAGCCCCACCAACCACTCTCTCTGCTTTTTCACCCAAAACTACTTCAACTCCCCTTCCCCTCCCAATTTTCTTTAACACTACTACTCCCACCTCTCTTGTCGCGTCCCTGCCAGCTGTACTGTATATACTGGCTCCTCTCCTCTCTGTTAGTGTGACTTTGAAAATGGTTCAGTCGGTCCGTAACGTCGTCGTAAGCTTCTCTCTCTCCCATGTGCTGGTTATTTGTGTATTGTTCCAGTCACAGTATCGTGCCTTTTTGTATTTATACATAGTCCTCCCTAACAACTTTGTTGCTAAATTCATCTTCAGTATTTTCTCCATCGCCAAATGCCAAGCCGCCGGGTCACCATCTGGAGAAGACCCGGGCCGGAAGTGCCGGCAAATCATAAATGTATGAATGAAATGCCAAGTATACACCACTGTCTCCACTACTAAACACAGGTTGTGGAAGATCATCACAACCATACACAGGTTGTGGGTCATCACAACCCGACCTCTTTGACTCATGGAATACTCATAACCCAAGCTCATTCCTGCCACTCATGTCCAAGACATGTCAGGTACACGCGTGGGCGGTGACACCCGTCACGTTCAGTACACACGAGTTTCGGTAACATCCGTCACGTTCAGTACACACATGGGTGGAAGTGTTCCCTGAACCCTAGTGAATAGAAGTCAGTACTCGTGTAAGGCATGCACCAGTGTATGAGAGATCCTGACGGTGTAGACACCAGTGTGTGAGAACACCTGGCGGTATAGACACAGCGTGTGAGAGCTCCTAACGGTGTAGACTTGTTGAAACATCAAATGTGTGTGGCAGATGGAAAAAAAATGTAACGGCGCGTCAATTTAATATATGATGGAGGAAGATTTATAATTGTAAAGCTTAAATTTTATAATAAGCATCGTACTGGTGGAAGTTTAACAACAAACATCGTACTGGTGGAAGTTTAACAACAAACATCGTGCTGGTGGAAGTTAAACAACAAACATCGTGCTGGTGGAAGTTAAACAACAAACATCGTGCTGGTGGAAGTTAAACAACAAACATCGTGCTGGTGGAAGTTAAACAACAAACATCGTACTGGTGGAAGTTTAACAACAAATATCGTGCTGGTGGAAGTTTAACAACAAACATCGTGCTGGAGGAAGTTAAACAACAAACATCGTGCTGGTGGAAGTTAAACAACAAACATCGTGCTGGTGGAAGTTAAATAACAAACATCGTGCTGGTGGAAGTTAAACAACAAACATCGTGCTGGTGGAAGTTAAACAACAAACATCGTGCTGGTGGAAGTTAAACAACAAACATCGTGCTGGAGGAAGCTAAACAACAAACATCGTGCTGGAGGAAGTTAAATAACAAACATCGTGCTGGTGGAAGTTTAACAACAAACATCGTGCTGGAAGAAGTTAAACAACAAACATCGTGCTGGAGGAAGTTAAATAACAAACATCGTGCTGGTGGAAGTTTAACAACAAACATCGTGCTGGTGGAAGTTTAACAACAAACATCGTGCTGGTGGAAGTTTAACAACAAACATCGTGCTAGAGGAAGTTAAATAACAAACATCGTGCTGGTGGAAGTTTAACAACAAACATCGTGCTGGTGGAAGTTAAATAACAAACCACGTGCTGGTGGAAGTTAAACAACAAACATCATGCTGGTGGAAGTTAAATAACAAACCACGTGCTGGTGGAAGTTTAACAACAAACATCGTGCTGGTGGAAGTTAAATAACAAACATCGTGCTGGTGGAAGTTAAACAACAAACATCGTGCTGGAGGAAGTTAAATAACAAACATCGTGCTGGTGGAAGTTTAACAACAAACATCGTGCTGGTGGAAGTTAAATAACAAACATCGTGCTGGTGGAAGTTTAACAACAAACATCGTGCTGGTGGAAGTTAAATAACAAACATCGTGCTGGTGGAAGTTAAATAACAAACATCGTGCTGGTGGAAGTTTAACAACAAACATCGTGCTGGTGGAAGATAAACAACGAACTTCGTGCTAGTGGAAGTTAAATAACAAACATCGTGCTGGTGGAAGTTAAATAACAAACATCGTGCTGGTGGAAGTTTAACAACAAACATCGTGCTGGTGGAAGTTAAATAACAAACATCGTGCTGGTGGAAGTTAAATAACAAACATCGTGCTGGTGGAAGTTAAATAACAAACATCGTGCTGGTGGAAGTTAAACAACAAACATCGTGCTGGTGGAAGTTAAACAACAAACATCGTGCTGGAGGAAGTTAAATAACAAACATCGTGCTGGTGGAAGTTAAACAACAAACATCGTGCTGGAGGAAGTTAAATAACAAACATCGTGCTGGTGGAAGTTAAACAACAAACATCGTGCTGGTGGAGTTAAATAACAAACATCGTGCTGGTGGAAGTTTAAACAACAAACATCTTGCTGGTGGAAGTTAAACAACAAACATCGTGCTGGTGGAAGTTAAATAACAAACATCGTGCTGGCGGAAGTTAAACAACAAACATCGTGCTGGTGGAAGTTAAATAACAAACATCGTGCTGGTGGAAGTTAAATAACAAACATCGTGCTGGTGGAAGTTAAACAACAAACATCGTGCTGGTGGAAGTTAAACAACAAACATCGTGCTGGTGGAAGTTAAATAACAAACATCGTGCTGGTGGAAGTTTAACAACAAACATCGTGCTGGTGGAAGTTAAACAACAAACATCGTGCTGGTGGAAGTTAAATAACAAACATCGTGCTGGTGGAAGTTAATCAACAAACATCGTGCTGGTGGAAGTTAAACAACAAACATCGTGCTGGTGGAAGTTAAACATCAAACATCGTGCTGGTGGAAGTTAAACAACAAACATCGTGCTGGTGGAAGTTAAACAACAAACATCGTGCTGGTGGAAGTTAAATAACAAACATCGTGCTGGCGGAAGTTAAACAACAAACATCGTGCTGGTGGAAGTTAAATAACAAACATCGTGCTGGTGGAAGTTAAACAACAAACATCGTGCTGGTGGAAGTTAAATAACAAGCATCGTGCTGGTGGAAGTTAAACAACAAACATCGTGCTGGTAGAAGTTAAATAACAAGCATCTTGCTGGTGGAAGTTAAACAACAAACATCGTGCTGGTGGATAGTTTAAATAACAAGCATCGTGCTGGTGAAGTTAAAGAACAAATCGTGCTGGTGGAAGTTAACAACAAACATCGTGCTGTGGAAGTTAAACAACAAACATCGTGCTGGTTGGAAGTTAAACAACAAACATCGTGCTGGTGGAAGTTAATAACAAACATCGTGCTGGTGGAAGTAGAACAACAAACATCGTGTGGTGGAAGTTAAACAACAAACATCGTGCTGTGGAAGTTAAATAACAAAACATCGTGCTGGTGGAGTTAAACAATCAAAATCGTGCTGGAGAAGTTAAATAACAAACATCGTGCTGGTGGAAGTTAAACACAACAAACATCGTGCTGGTGGAAGTTAAACAACAACCATCGTGCTGGTGGAAGTTAAACATCAAAACATCGTGCTGGTGGAAGTTAAACAAACAAACATCGTGCTGTGGAAGTTTACATCAAACATCGTGCGGTGGAAGTTTAAACAACATAACATCGTGTGTGGAAAGTTTAAACATCAAACATCGTGCTGTGGAAGTTAAACAACAAACATCGTGCTGGTGGAAGTTAACACAAAATCGTGCTGGATGGGAGTTATAAATAACAAACATCGTGCTGGCGGAAGTTAACAACAAACATCGTGCTGGTGGAAGTTAAATAACAAACATCGTGCTGGTGGAAGTTAAACAACAAACATCGTGCTGGAGGAAGTTAAATAACAAACATCGTGCTGGCGGAAGTTAAACATCAAACATCGTGCTGGTGGAAGTTAAACACAAACATCGTGCTGGTGGAAGTTAACACAACAAACATCGTGCTGGAGGAAGTTAAAAAAAACATCGTGCTGGTGGAAGCTAAACAACAAACATCGTGCTGGTAGAAGTTAAACAACAAACATCGTGCTGGTGGAAGTTAAACAACAAACATCGTGCTGGTGGAAGTTAAATAACAAGCATCGTGCTGGTGGAAGCTAAACAACAAACATCGTGCTGATAGAAGTTAAACAACAAACATCGTGCTGGTGGAAGCTAAACAACAAACATCGTGCTGTGGAAGCTAAACAAAACATCGTGCTGGTAGAAGTTAAACAACAAACATCGTGCTGGTGGAAGTTAAACAACAAACATCGTGCTGGTGGAAGCTAAACAACAAACATCGTGCTGGTGGAAGCTAAACAACAAACATCGTGCTGATAGAAGTTAAACAACAAACATCGTGCTGGTGGAAGCTAAACAACAAACATCGTGCTGGTGGAAGCTAAACAACAAACATCGTGCTGGTAGAAGTTAAAACAACAAACACGTGCTGGTTGGAAAGTTAAACAACAAACATCGTGTGGTGGAGCTAAACAACAAACATCGTGCTGGTGGAAGCTAAACAACAAACATCGTGCTGATAGAAGTTAAACAACAAACATCGTGCTGGTGGAAGCTAAACAACAAACATCGTGCTGGTGGAAGCTAAACAACAAACATCGTGCTGGTGGAAGCTAAACTACAAACATCGTGCTGGTGGAAGCTAAACAACAAACGTCGTGCTGGTGGAAGCTAAACAACAAACCTCGTGCTGGTGGAAGCTAAACAACAAACATCGTGCTGGTGGAAGCTTGGACGTGACAATGAGAGTGTGGACGAGACTCAAGATGATCCAGGGGACTGCTGCTCTCCTCACTGTTTACTTCCTATTAACGCCTAACTCTTTTAGTAAGTTGTCACCTGCATCTCACCTCGTCCCAACAACCGTTTACAAGTGTCCACCTCACCTGTTTATACCTTGCCCTTTATTTATTTATAATGTTCATTTCTGACCCTTGATCTGTTTATACGTGGCTCCCACACCTGTTCATACCTGGTTCCATAAACCTGTTTATCCCTGCCTCGATACACCTGCCAGGGATTAGATCCATACCCAGTTAATACCTGGTTGCACTATTTATTTGTACCGGGTGCAAACAGCTGGAATATCTGATTCCCGCACCTGCGAATGTATGATCCCCACACCTGTAAATATCTGATCCCCCACACCTGTTCACATCTAGTCCTCCACACTGACTGGTACCGACACATGTAGATACCTAATTTCTCTAATACCTGTTCAAATCAGAACGCCAAACCTTGCTACTTCCTAAACCACGTACCCTTTCCCACCTCCCGTAGTTAAAGCTACAAATTTTTGACACTTCTGGGTTTAATACATAATCATTAACTTCGTCATTTACCCACGAGATCTAAGAGTCTAGACAGAGTTATAATTGACACCAGTTTATCACAGGGGTACTAAGATATGACCCAGCGGCACTCCAGTCCTCGGTCACCGAGATCAAGGAACAGGCAGACGCACACAACGACTACCTCACCTGCCCAGCACCCAGGGCTAGACGACCCCACGACCTCCTGCTGCTAGACGACATCTTCAGGTACAGCTATAGTGAGAGTTGACGCTGGAACTTATCTGAAGTGAGTTTTTGCTTCCATCTTTCTCCGTGATATTTTTCTCAGTATATGGCTCATTTTTCTTTCTGTTTTCCTGCCGGTAGTTGCCGGAAGGATTGGAGGGTAGGAAGAGAACTTTCTGCTTTTCTCTCCTTGACTTATACATCTGGATATGCACGACAGCCTTTAATCTAGAAGGAAGTAGATAGTTCTTGTCAGCAGAAAGCCTCGGTGTGGACCTCCAAGTCTTCCGCTCTCTCTCTCCCTCCCCGCGGGTTCAGCGTCGTCTCATGAATTTAATTATAATAATTATTGACGGACTGATAAATGATATTTTCCTGCAGCCTGAAGGAAGCGCAGCAGGAGGGAGCGCTTAACATTCTGCTGCTGGAGAGTTCGTGCGCAGTCCAGCCCACCACCCGAGCATGGTGTGCACTAGAGAGGTACGACTATCACTATTGTATGTCAGTGGCGCCCTTCCGCGCCTGTGGCGTCCTAGATAAGTATTGTTGAAAATTGTATAAAATACCGACAAGTTAAAGATTAAGACACATGTGCAACAGTTGGGTATCTTTATTGACGAAACGTGTCGCCTACACAGTAGGCTTCTTCAGTCATATACAAAGGGAGCAGTAGTAATGAAATAAAGATGATGTCATCAGTCCATCAACCTTTGAAGAAAAAGTATTTGAGGTGGTCAGTCCCTCAGCCTGGAGAAGAGTTCAGCTCCATGGAGCCTGCTGTGCAGGCGAAACGTTTCATCAATAAAGATACCCAACTGGATCACTATGACATGGCCTTGGATGCACTGGAAGAAAATCAGAATGCAGATGTAATATACACAGACTTTGCAAAAGCATTTGACAAATGCGATCATGGCGTAATAGCCCATAAAATACGTGCTAAAGGAATAACTGGGAAAGTGGGGAGATGGATCTTCAACTTCCTAACAAATCGAACACAAAGAGTAGTGGTCAACAGAGTTAAATCGGAGGCTGCCATAGTGAAGAGCTCTGTTCCACAAGGCACAGAACTCGCCCCCATCTTATTCCTTATCCTCATATCAGACAAAAACAGAGATATACACCACAGCACCGTATCATCCTTTGCGGATGATACTAGGATCTGCATGAGGCTGTCATCTGCTGAGGACACGGTTAACCTCCAAGAAGATATAAACAAAGTTTTCCAGTGGGCAACGGTAAACAATATGATGTTCAATGAGGACAAATTCCAACTACTCCGTTATGGAAAACTGGAGGAGATAATAACTAGAACAGAGTATACTAATGACTCCGGCCATACAATAGAGCGGAAAAATAATGTAAGGGACCTGGGAGTAGTAATGTCTGAGGATCTCACTTTCAAGGATCACAACAGTGCCACGATCGCACGTGCAAAGAAAATGATAGGATGGATAATGAGAACTTTCAAAACGAGAGATGCCAAGCCCATGATGATCCTTTTCAAATCACTTGTTCTCTCTAGGCTGGAATACTGCTGTACATTAACATCTCCATACAAAGCAGGTGAAATCGCAGATCTAGAGAGTGTACAGAGATCCTTTACTGCACGTATAAGTTCTGTCAAGCACCTTAACTACTGGGAACGCTTGGAAGCACTTGACTTGTACTCGTTGGAACGCAGGAGGAGAGATATATCATAATCTACACTTGGAAAATCTTGGAAGGAATGGTCCCAAATCTGCACACAGAAATCACTCCCTACGAAAGTAAAAGA